TAATATATTTCAAATAAGGGCTGCTTTAAAAAAAAAAAAAATCACTGCTCACGTAAAAAGTCTAACTATAGAAATTCCAAATCTGGAATGGTGACATACAAAGTTATCAGTGACTCAGGCTCTACTTGTCTTTCTGTTAGGGTGCAGCCCTCATCCTCATCACCTAAGATGGAAGCTGGAACTCCCGCAGGCAGTAGGATAAAAGAGGAAAACTGCAACCATGTAGAGATGTTCCAGAAGTAACTTCTATAACTTCCACTTGTATCTCATTAGCCAGGACTTAAATACATGACCACACCTAGGTATAAGGAAGACTGAAAAGTAGCTGTTTAATTTGGGAGGCAACATGCCCAGTTAAAAATTAGTGTTGTCACTAAAGAAAACAGAAAAGTATTAGGGTACACAATAGTCTCTACCATAATTCCTAAGATTAAATTTAAAAAGAGAAATATACAATTCATGAAGAAACGTGTAAAACATTTTCATAATTATCAAAGGACATAAAATAAGACCTACAAACATGAGATCACAGGTCAGGTTCCCAGAAGGAAAGGCACAACTGTGCTTATCACCAACTCCATTTGATGTCTTTGCAGTAAAACCACAAATGTGTAATTCTGAATTAATTTAACTTGAGAAGTTTCTTCTCCATGTGTAAAGTAACAGGTGTTAATATGTTGATCCCATTAATAGAACTTTTCCAGCAGCTAAATTATATCAGTTTTATCATCATCTGCTAACAGTGAAAAATCAGTTATTACCCAATAATGACTGAATGTTGAATCATTTCAATGGAATAAAAATAAAGCTTTTGGGAAGTCATTCTATCAAAAGTGAAATATCTACTACTAATGAAAACTGAGTTTTAAAAAAGTTCTACATTAAAGGGGTGTCTGGGTGGCTCACTCTGTTAAGCATCTGACTCAATTTTGGCTCAGGTCATGATCTCAGGGTCGTGAGACTGAGCACCAAGTCAGGCTCCGTGCTGGGCATGGAGCCTGCTTAAGATTTTTTCTCTCTCTCCCCCTCTGCCCCTCCTTCCTCCCTCTCAAAAAAAAAAAAAAAAAAAGTTCTACATTAAAGATCAACTTTTTGTGAGGTAATAATACAAACAGAAGTTTTGGTGCAACAGTGTCATGATAAAAATACTGTTCTGACAGTCCTATGGGGCAGACGTGTACCTGCAATTGGTTTGGTACATACATAACTCCTTTACCAAACAAGCAATATTCTACTAACAGAAATACTATAGTCATCAAATTTTAGAAATTATTTTTTAAATCCACATTTAGATTAAATGAACCACAAAAACTTTGTGATAAGATTATACTGAATACCATAAAGGTCCTTCAGCATAACAGGACGCCTGGCTCTTTCACCTACCCATTATCAATGTGATTTTTAAAATTTCTGTATCTTTGAAAAACTACCTCACACAGGGATTAAAAACTCTTTTGTAAATGAGCCCTAAAACCTTTCTCCCCAAATTTGTTCAAAATCATAGGAATCTTTATTATAGTCAAGGAATGGAGCACCTAAATCTTGAAATTTTAGTGCTTTAAGAGAAATTTGCAAATATTAGATCAAATAACACAAAAATATTTTTGCTGTAAAAGTGACTTCAAAAAAAAAGTGAAATTTCCCAATGTCATGTCAACAGCCAAGCCCCTCAGTGAAAGCAAACTAAAATTAGAAATTTCTCATCAAGAAAAAAAGAAAGCGAAATCTCGTTTTTCAAACGTGTTTAAAAAAGAAGCCTATCTCTGGTCAGATTCTGATGGGAAAATGTGAATGTTTGGATTCTGAATTTTCTCTTCCTCTGGTATAAGAATCTCCAAGGCAATAAATTAACATATACATTAGAACATGTTAGGGGCTGGTGATACCTTAGAAAGTCTAGCAGAGCAAACACAAAACACCTTAGAGATTCTCACAGAAGAAAAAACAATTCAGCTAAAAATTACGACTCACACAAGGAAAAACACTAGACTATAAGCAAATATTTAATAGAAGGATTAAACAGCACATTAGACAAAGCTGAACAGAGAATGAGTCAATCAGAAAACCATTTTAAGGAAATTATACAAAATATAGGACCTTAAGGAGAAAGACATGACAATGAATGTATGAGGTTAAAACAAATGCAGGCCTGAATGGAAAGGTCCTATACATGTCTAACTGGAGTTTCAGGAGGAGGCAGTTCTGGGAAGAGCTGGGTCACTCCTAAGCAGGATAAATGAAAGTAAGTCAACTAAGAAGCTTTAAAAATAAACAAAAAACATTGCCTAGACCTCCATTGCCTGCCCCCCAACCCCGATATTTTAGAATTGGTGTGGGGTAGGTCAAGGTATCTATATTTTCCTCAAAGCTTCCCAAGCTATTTTAGTGAACATCCTGGATGTTGAGAACTTGTGATCCATACCTACAAATAGCTAGTTAAACCAGTGAACAAAAATAAAGAGAAAAATGTTTAAAAATAACTAAAGAGAAGTAAGTTTACCTACAAAGTAATAACAAAGACTGACAACAGATTTCTAAACAACAGAAGCCAAAAGAATAATAAACAGTACCTTCAATGTGTTAAGAGAAAATAACTGTCAACCTAAAATTCAAAATAGCTAACTAACATTGAATAGTGATAATGAAATAGACATTTTTAGTCAAAGTCTGAGAAGTTACCATTTATAGAGCTTTGCGGAAACAGCTACTGAAGAGGATATGCTTCAGGAAGAAAAACACTGAACAGAATGGGATATAAGAAATTCAAAACATAAAAGCAAAACAGAACAAACTGCTGCTGCCAGCTAAACTCCCATTTCATATTTCTCTCTTTTCCTAAGTAATCAATCAACCAGCATGAAATCTTTCTGGTCATCCATCCTGATAGTTCATAAACGTGACCAAACAAAGTGACCTGTTTTTAAAATAAGAGCAAACATAATGGGTCCCACCCTAGATGTACTGTAACTCTAGGAGTAAGGACTTTTTTTTTTAAAAGTAGGCTCCATGCCCAGTGTGGAGCCCAACATGAGATTGGAACTCAACGACACCGAAATCAAGGCGTGAGCTGAGATCAAGAGTCAGATGCTTAATCAACTGAGCCACCCAGGCACCCTAAGGACAGACATTTTCTTACAAGCCTACCAGACCAGGAGGATAACCAGGTTTAGAAACTTCAGATTCTACTGTTTCCTCATACAGCATTTCTCAAAGTATGGTTCCTCAAATGGCAACATCACCATTACCCGGAAACTTGTGGAAATACAAATTCTCAAGACCCACCTCAGATCTACTTTATTAGAAATTCTGGGTATGGACTCAGGAACTGTGCTTTAACAGGCCCTCCAGGTGATTCTGATGCCAGCTCAAGTTTGAGAAAACAGCTTTACTTTCATGCTCATATTACTCTGTTCACACTTCTACATCAACAAATCCTCTGCTGCTGTCCTGCCCACAAAATCTTTCCATTTAGTACTGTAGAGCAGTGTACCATGGTTAACCAATTCCCATATATTCTTAATCTCTTAAATGAATTTTCATTGCATCTTTTGCCTTAACTGAACCTAGTCCACTTCTCTTATACAGTCCTCATATAAAAGCTGTTCACTCTCCCAAACACTGTGTAGCTCAGGATCTGGAAAGTGAGGTCCACTCATTTCCTATTCCCTATAACTCCAAAAACATTTGGATAAAAATCTGGCCTTCAGGGGCACCTGGGTGGCTCAGTAGGTTGGGCGTCTGCCTTTGGCTCAGATCATGATCCCAGGGTCCTGAGATCGAGCCCCACATTGGGCTCCCCACTCAGTGGGGAGCCTGCTTGTCCCTCTCCCCTGATTGTGTGCTCTCTCTCTCTCTCTAATAAACAAGTAAAATATTTAAAAATAAAAATCCGACCTTTTCTGAAACTCTCCACTCTACATGCCTTTTCAACTGTGGATGATACTAACTTCCAAATTTCTCTTCTGATGTTGAGACCAGAAGAACCCAATGACTATCCAACACTTCCATTTGGATGTTGCAAAGGAACCTCAAATTCAAAATACAAAAATCTGAACCTCCTATGTTGTCCAACTTCTTTCTATATTTTCTATATGAATGGCACCAATATTCATCTACCCAATTATCTAAGTCCAAAACCTGGAAATAAATCATCAATGGAATCCCTTATTCAAACATTCAATTAATCACCAGCTACCATCAATTTCACATTCAGTGAATTGTCCCATTCTCTCTATCACAACTGCTAGTGGTACAGTACAAATTATCATCCCTTACTGGGATATCCTACAGAGCAGTAGCTTCTTAACTGCTCACTCTTCCTCCAGTACTGCACTCTGCCAGTTCATTTTACAGTCCCCAAATTTCAAGAACACTTATTTTTATTTTTTTTTAAAGATTTTTTATTTTTTATTAGAGAGAGAGCACAAGCAGGGGGAGCAGTAGGCAGAGGGAGAGGGAGAAGCAGACTCCTCTGGTTCAGCAGGGAGCCTGACCTGGGGCTCAATCCCAGGACCCCGGGACCATGACCTGAGCCGAAGGCAGACGCTTAACCGTCTGAGCCACCCAGGTGCCCAAGAACACTTATTTTTAAACCATGTGGTAACTTATGGAATGTAAATTATGTTCCAATTTTTAAAAAATCATGTGATCTTATAATTTTAATATTTCTATTATTCTAAACCATCATTAAACACAAGCTTTTAAATATAGCTCTTTTACTCAATTGTTCTGGGTCACCAAGTTATTGACAGTTTTATCACAAAGAACATCAATCAAAAAAGTAATTATCAAATGAGATACAAATTAATTCTTAAAATTTAAGAGCTACAATTGGTAATTTCATTTATGTGAACTTTACTGCAATAAATTTTAGTTCTATTACAAATAACGGACTTCAACAAATGTTTATAAGATGAGCAAACTAAGAACACTGTAAAAAAATTTTTTTTGAAACTCATGGAAAGAAAACATTTTAGATTTTGAAAAAAATGAAAACTCACCATACACACCTGTAGGAGTAGAATTGTTCATGGTAAAAGGTCCGTTAATGACACCAGAAGAAAGAAGCTCATCAGATCCCCGCTGAAAAGCAAGGGCAGTGTTATGTTAATAAAACAAGTCTTGGATAATGGTCCACCTTTACTACTAAAAATATCAAAAGTTAATAATATTACTTTGTCTGAATATTAAGGCATTAAAGGGGAAGTCCTCAAGAATCAAAACATCTAAATGAAGGTTGGAAGTAAATTTTACAGAAGAAAAATTACTGCATATCTACATGGTTGTTAGTTATAAAAAAAACAAAAACAGGGCGCCTGGGTGGCTCAGTTGGTTAAGCAACTGCCTTCGGCTCAGGTCATGATCCTGGAGTCCCGGGATCGAGTCCGCATCGGGCTCCCTGCTCGGCAGGGAGTCTGCTTCTCCCTCTGACCCTCCCCCCTCTCATGTGCTCTCTCTCATTCTCTCTCTCTCAAATAAATAAATAAAATCTTTAAAAAAAAAAACAAAACAAAACAAAAAAAAAACAAAACAAAAACAAAAACTGCTATCACATAATGGGGAACATAGTCCTGCAACCCTTTTTGAACAAACCCTATCTTCAGATGTTACATTTGAAGTACCAAAAATCACATTTAGGGGTTGCACCCTGAAACTATTCCTGCAATTTATTTTAAAGTATATTTAGTATATTTCAAGTATATTAAGATGTCAAGTTTTTGTAGTACATTTCTTTTTTTTTTTTTTTAAGATTTCATATTTATTTGTCAGAGAGAGAGCAGAAGGTGGGGGTGGGGAGAAGGAGAAGCCGGCTCCCAACTGAGCAGGGACCCGGACATGGGACCCAATCCCAGGACCCTGGGATCATGACCGGAGCCAAAGGCAGACACTTAACCAACTGAGACACCCAGGCACCCCTAGTATATTTATTTATAAGTACTCATATGCAAATAACTTGTGTAGTACCCGCTAAGAATCCCAACTTCTTGATACCTATATATTTTTTTAAAGTTGAACACAAAGATGAAATTTATTTCTATGTTGACCAAATCCTTTATAATCAGTGATTTTTTTTCACTAATGTTCAAAATGATTTTTAATGTGTACTATTTCTTAAACAACTACTGTTTAAATAATTTACTCTTTTCTACAGGTAAGAGTTTTGACCAGTTGAGGGTGCCTTGGTGGCTCAGTCAATAAGCATCTGCCTTCGGTTCAGGTCATGAGCCCAGGGTCCTGGGATCAAGCCCCCAGCCCCCATCAGGCTCCCTGCTCCGCGGGAAGCCTGCTTTTCCCTCTCACATTCCCCCTGCTTGTGTTCTCTCTCTCGCTGTCTCTCTGTCAAATAAATAAAATCTTAAAAAAAAAAAAAAAAAGTTTTGACCAATTGCAAGCTGAACTGTCAATGCTAAAAGACAGGTCAGACAAGCCTTCTCATTTTAACGTAAGATCTATTACAAAGATTAAAAAATTTACATTTACAAAGGACAATAAATGCCATGTACAAAGTTAAAAACAATTTCCAAGTGTTACTATTTGTTTAACTTGGTCAATTCTTAAGATCAAGTATTTTGGTCTACTGGATGATAAAACTTAATCCCCAAACTCTCCTACAAATATTAGAATAGTAATAACTCTCCAAAAGATGTTTAATGTTTAGGTATTAAGTACCACCGTAGGAAACTTCAGCCTTTGCTAAAGAAAGGCAAACCACCAATGTGTTTGCATAATAGAAATACAATTATTTAAACAATTCCTGTATTAAACATCCAGATATTATTCCCCTTGGTTCTTCACTAGAAATTTATACAGACAAATTGGGACAAGAGGAAGAAATTAAGTAAGCACACAAGATGAAATAAAAATGAAAATCTCATCTTCGAGAAGGACCAGGATTAAGGCCTCATTTAAGGAACATATGTTAGGGCACCTGGGTGGCTCAGTCGGTTAAGCGACTGCCTTCGGCTCAGGTCATGATCCTGGAGTCCCGGGATCGAGTCCCACATCAGGCTCCCTGCTCAGCAGGGAGTCTGCTTCTCCCTCTGACCCTCCTCCCTCTCATGCTCTCTGTCTCTCACAAATAAATAAAAAATCTTAAAAAAAAAAAGGAACATATGTTATCTTCCTGATGATATCTGAAATAGGAAAGACTTTGTGGTTCACTGGCTACCTGCAACTATGGAGAAAGATGAATTTCTGCAGTTTTAAATGCAGTAAAAATTTAAACATGTCCAGGGCGCCTGGGTGGCTCAGTTGGTTGAGCGACTGCCTTCGGCTCAGGTCATGATCCTGGAGTCCCTGGATCGAGTTCCGCATCGGGCTCCCTGCTTGGCAGGGAGCCTGCTTCTCCCTCTGACCCTCCCCCCTCTCATGTGCTCTCTCTCTCTCTCTCTCATTCTGTCTCAAATAAATAAATAAAATCTTTAAAAAAAAAAAAATTTAAACATGTCCAGTATGTTTTTATCTCTGAGGATTTGGTAAAAGAGGTGTTACTAATAGATATATTTTCTACATATACATGAGTTTAGTATCAGTATGTTTCTATACGTAAACTGAGTTAATTTGAAACCACTTCAGCTTTTTCCTAGACTTACAAAAGTATGTTAAAATGTCAACTAAGCACTAATTCTAAGAGGACTGCAAACTGAAATGTAAAAGGCAAAACAATAAAGACTCTAGAAGATAACAGAAGAGTATCTTCATAATTTTGGAGTAAGGAAAGATTTCTTAAACAAGACACAAAAGCACAATTATGAAGGAAAAATACTGATAAATGAGATAACACTGAAATTAATAATTTTATTTACAATATACACAATACCAAATCATTATGTTGCACACCTGAAACTGACACTACATGTCAATTTAAAAAAAAAAAGAATTTTATTTAACAAAAGACATAAGGAGATTTAAAAGGCAAGTTAAAGAGTGGGAGAAAATATCTGCACTACATATAACCAACAAGTTTTATTGATTTTTTTTTTTAAGATTTTATTTATCTATTTGAGAGAGAGCACGCAAGCAAGAGTAGGGAAAGAGCTAAGGGGGAGGGAGAGGGAAGGGAAAAAGAATCTCAAGCAGACTGCCCGCTGAGGGGGGATCCATCTCAGGACCCTGAAATCATGACCTGAGCCGAAACCAAGAGTCAGACGCTTAACCGACTGAGCCACCCAGTTTTTTTGTTGTTGTTGTTAAAGATTTTATTTATTTGACAGAGAGAGACAAAGCGAGAGAAAGAACACAAGCAGGGGGGGTGGGAGAAGGAGAAGCAGGCTTCCTGCCGAGCAGGGAGCCCAACGCAGGGCTCGATCCCAGGACCCTGAGATCATGACCTGAGCCGAAGGCAGACCCTTAACGACTGAGCCACCCAGGCGCCCCTGAGCCACCCAGTTTTATATCCAGAACTTACTAAGAAAAAGAAAAAAGGAGGGAAAAAAAACTCATTAGCAATCACTGAGAAAAAGACAAGAGTTCAACAGGCACCTAACAAAGTGGTAGACTTTATTTTTGTTCCAGAGTATTTGTGCTTTCTCCTTCTCCTGTGAAAGGATTTTTCACCCCCATCCATGGTGATGTGACTTGCAATGCCTCTTGTGAGAGAATACTTCCCTCACGCACTGACACTGAGCACGGTTTTGTGATATGCTTTGGCCTATGGGATATGAATAGACATGAACTTTGATAAATCCAAGCAGAAGCTTCAAAAGATATTAGTAGTTTCTGATAATTTTTTCCTCTTTCCCTCTGAAATAGGAGCATATTCCAAAGACGGGCTGCTCTTTCAGCCTGACTTCCAGAATAAGAACACACAGAGCTTCACAACAGCCACCAACACTGTAAGTGAACCAGAAAAAAACATTTTTCTAACCTATATCTAAATGACTAATATCATATCCAATAAACATATGAAAAGATGCTTAACCCCACTGGTCATCAGAGAGATGAGTGTTAAAACCATAATAAAATACTAGATATTAAAAAAGACTGAAAAGGGACGGCTGGGTGGCTCAGTCGGTTAAACATCTGCCTTCGGCTCAGGTCATGATCGCAGGGTCCTGGGATTGGGTCCCACATCGGGCCCCTTGCTCAGTGGGGAGCCTGCTTCTCCCTCTGCCTGCCGCTTCCCCTGCTTATGTTCTCTCCTTCTCTTTGACAAATAAATAAAATCTTTAAAAAAAATAAATAAATAAAAATAAAAAAGACTGACAATATCAAGAGTTGATAACAATGTGGAGCATCAGAGCTAGTATGTTGCTAGTTGGAGTGCAAGTTGGCACAACTCTGGAAAACTAACTGAATATACTCAAGTTGAATATATGAGTATCCTACAATCCTTATGTATTCTACTCCTTTGGATACACTCAAGAGACTGCATGCTTATGTGAACCTAAACATATAAGAATGTTCTCAGCAGCATTATTTCTACTCCCCAAATTGGAAATAGCCAAATGTTATCAATGACAGAATGGACAGATTTTTTTTTAAGTAAATGAAGAAATTTTTTTCATTTAAATTCAATTAATTAATATAGAGTGTATTATTAGTTTCAGAGGTACAGTTCAGTGATTCATCAGTCTTATATAACACTCAGTGCTCATTACATCACATGCCCTCCTTAATGTCCATCACCCAGTTAATCCCATTCCCCTACCCCCCTCCCTCCAGCAACCCTCAGTTTGTTTCCTATGATTAAGAGTCTCTTATGGTTTGTCTCCCTCTCTGATTACGTCTTGTTTTATTTTTCCCTACCTTCCCCTATGCTCCTGTTTTGTTTCTTAAATTCCACATAGGAGTGAAATCATATAACTGTCTTTCTCTGACTGAATTATTTCGCTTAGCATAATTACCCTCTAGTTCCATCCACATTGTTGCAAATGGCAAGAGTTCATTTGTTTTGATGGCTGCATAATATTCCATTGTGTGTGTGTGTGTGTATACAGACACACACCCCCCACATCTTCTTTATCCATTCATCTGTCAATGGACATCTGGGCTCTTTCCATAGTTTGGCTATTGTGGACATTGCTGCTATAAACATTGGGATGCAGATGCCCCTTCAGATCACTACATTTGTATCTTTGGGG